CCTCTCTGTCTCTCGTGAATCCTCTCACCCTCCGCATCTCTGGCCTGTACCCCAGTTCTGTACGAATAAATAAATCTTTAAAAAAAAAAAAAAAAGATGAGTCTTTAAAGATGTTGTTGAGATATATGTCTTGTGTTTTACCTATATTTTCTTATATATATTTTATGGTTTCAGGTCTTATGCCCAAATCTCTTATCCATTTTGAGTTGATTTTCATGCACAGTATGAGGCAATGGTCTAGTTTCAGTTTTTTTGTTTGTTAGTCCAGTTTTCCCAGCACCATTTGTTAAACTGTCCTTGTTCCATTGCTTATTCTTTGCTCCTTTGTCAAAGATTAACTGTTCATAAAGATGTGGGTTTATTTCTGGGCTTTCTATTTGGTTCCATTGGTTGGTATGTCTGTTTTGTTCCAGTATACCACACTGTAGTATAGATTGAAGTTTGGAAGTGCAATACCTCTTTTCCTTTGTTTTCATCAGTAAAGCTTTGGCTATTGGTTTTCTGTGGTTCCATATGAATTCCATCAGTATTTGTTCTATGTCTTTGAAATATGTCATTGATATTTTTATATTTTCTTTGAAGAATGTCATTGATATTTTTACATTGAATCTGTAAATTACTTTTGGTAGAATGGCCATTGTAATAATGTTAATTCCTCTAATCCTTGAACAGGGGATATTTTTCCATTTCTTTGTGTCTTCTATTTCTTTCAGTAGTGTTTATAATTTTCTTTGTACAGGTCCTTCACATCTTTTATACAAATACATTTACAATCAACTTTGTTTAGATATAATTTATATACAATAAAGTAACATTTTAGGTGTAATTTAATACATTTAAACAAATGTATACACCTGACTAATCTCCAGTATAATCAACATACAGATCACCACTCTAAAATTTTCTCTTCTGCTCTTTTGTCCGTGTCCTTCTCTTCTCCCCATTTCAGCAACCACTTATCTACTTCCTGACATGCTAGATTAGTTGTGACTGTTCAAGAATTTCATGTAAATCAAGTCATGTAGTACATAGGTGCTTTTTATTCTGCCTTCTTATTCTACATCTTTTTAAGACTCACCCAGTTTGTTATATTTTTCAGTCTGTTCCCTTTTATTGCTGAATGATGATCTATAGGATGTCTACAAACACTTGTATATATTATTTACTAACTCTAGGATGAGCATTGTTCCTTTATCACTTTTACTAGCATGTGGTTCCTTGGGGCCCAAGACAAATGTAGAGAGGATAGAGACCAGTTCTATTAGAGAACATTGGGATGTTCTGTTACTTCATTATGTGTGTGGCATCATGATTATAGGTGATAGGTTATTTAAGTCTAGCTTCAACAAAAAAACTTTACCTAAAGTTTATGTTGGATAGACTCTGTTCCAAGGTTATAATAGCTCTTCTAAATCTCTTAATCGATAATTTCTGTATTATTAACTTATGTTTCTTATGTTATGCTTTGAGAATTTATGTTAGTGGTTAACCATTAACCAGAATCATTGTGATTATTTTCTTTGTTTCAAGTTCTGTTTACTTTGATTTATACCAGTGGTTCTCAAATTCTAGGCTTTGATGAAATTTTCACCAGAAAAATAGTCAAGGCAGCACATTTTTCTAAGGCTGAAGTTTCAATTTTGAAATTATCCCAACTAATTTTTTTTTAAAGATTTGTTTATTTTTGCATACAGAACTGGGGTGCAGGCCAGAGGTGCAGGGATGGTGAGAGGATTCACCAGAGGCAGTGGGGAGCAGAACAGGCAGATCAACAAAGTACACTGCTGAGGGGAGCAGCGGGCAGGTTAGGAGAGGTCCGCTGCCATGTGGATCACCTCCCGGGCGGGTATTAAATTCATGCTGAAGTAGCTTTAGCTTCTTAGTGCTGTGATTTAACCCATTGCGCCACCAGGGAGGGGCAGCAACTAATTTTTAATGTCAAAGTAACTTTTCTTTTGACCTAAAGATATCAGTAAATGATAATTTAAAATTAGTAGTTGTCCATAATATAATAAAACATTGGCAACCCTCTGTGGGTTCTCAAAATTTGAAGGAATGCTTACTTTAAAATTTTTTTTTAAATATACAATATCTCAACAATATATATATTTTTAATTATACTATTTTTTTACTGAGATATCATTGGTCTACAGCAATTTATATAATTACTTAGGGTATAGGTTCACATCTCTAGGTGTATATCACCACACCATGCCTCTTACCAAAGCACCAGAAAACTCCAATATTTTAAGTTTCACTAGTCAGAATTTAAAAATTTGGGAAATTATTTAAGAAAATAGTATCTATTTTTAAGAAAGTTATTATTTGGGGAGATGGTTACAGAGATAGAAAGAAACAGGTAAGGGGTGATTAATTACCACATTAGTCCCAAGGAATCTAAAATATTTGTCAGAGATCTAAGTTCTTATGTGATTCTGATACTGCTAATTGAAGAGGCTCATACTTTGAGCAAGACTTCTGATGTTTATTTATTAGCTGACTTTTGGGTTTAAGAGTCTGGATATTACAGGTACTCTTGAGTGAGTAGTGTCCATAATCCTCCCAGTCTTTCAGCTGTTTCTTTTGATCCCCTCCTGTGTACTTGGTCACATCCCCATACATTGTTTACTAAATTTTGGTGCACATTAGAATTTCCTGAGGAAATTTAAAATCCCTGATGTCCAGATTGCACCCTACTGCATCACACTCTGCAGTGGTTAGAGCCAGCATCAGTAGTTTTAAAGGACATGTAGGTGATTATTGTGTGTAATAACTTCTGAATTGTTGCTGTATTATTTATTTCTGTCATGACATAGGCAGCACTTGAAAGGAGTCTAGCCACAGGTAAACAGTGTTAATCATTTTGTTTGTGTGTAAAACAGGACCGATAAGATCATCTGAACTTCCGCCAGTGATTATGGAACAAAAGGGTCTCTCAGAAGTAATAGATCAATTAAAACATTTGCCTTCAGGACTGGATTCTGTTTTACAAAAAACTATACCGTGGGGAGTAGCATTTCATCATGCAGGTATCCATATTGATAATCTGTCATAAGAAGCCTTCAGAAATCTTAATAACTTATATGATATTTCAGTGCATTTAACTTCTTGTAGTCCACACTTAATATTCTTACATTTCAAGAAACTGTGTGATTAAGATTAAATAAAAGACAAATGTGTTTAGGTTTATTTATCTGTATAATATATATTAGATATAATGCATTTGATACTTTTGGGGAAACATAGTAAACTTTCCTTTCTATACTTTGTTAATTTAAAATTTAGGGTGGAGTGATACTTTCCTAATTTTATGCCACTCTGAGTGTCTAATTTTATCTCAAGAGGTATTGAAATATTCTCACCAATATATAAAAATCAGATTAATTTTAGAAATTACTATATTGTATTTTGCGAGTGGTAGGAGTGTTTAAATATCAAATAGGTTGTCAAAATTCCCTCATATGTATTTCTGTCATGACATAGGCAGCATTATGTTAGCTACTGAATAAAGGATTATGATAGTTACTGAATTGAGTAAATTTATAGCAGATTCTGAGATCCATTTTTAATTGACCAAGCATAATATTTTTATTAAATGTTGATAAATACATATTATTGAATCTTCCCCTTTTTTTTAGGCCTTACTTTTGAGGAAAGGGATATCATTGAAGGAGCCTTCCGTCAAGGTCAGATTCGAGTCTTGGCAGCAACTTCCACTCTTTCATCTGGGGTGAACTTACCTGCACGTCGTGTAATTATTCGGACTCCTATTTTCAATGGTCAACCTCTTGATATTCTTACATATAAGCAGATGGTTGGTCGTGCTGGCAGGAAAGGAGTAGACACACTAGGTGAGTTTGAATTTAATCATGCTGTCATTGCTAAGGACAACATCATTGTACTTAAAATTTAACTATTTCTAGTAACCCATTTCTCATCATGCTATATTTCTTGTTACCCAGTGTTCTAATGTCACCCTTTTAGATTTATTTAGTATGAATATAACTTTTAATTTTCACATTGTCAATTATTGGTTTCCTATTTTTGTAGAATTAAGATTTTCTTATATATACTAAAATTATATATGATGTATATTATATATACATAATTATACAATATTTTACTAATTAGGATGATTTATCACAATAGTTACAAGTTCATTTTTAATTTCTAGTATATCCAATGTTTAGTGCTAATGAAAGGAGTATTTTCATGGGTATTAGTTCTGCTTAGGTACTGGTCTTGGTTCAAATTGAGTTGCTGGCAGTTGGGAAGCACTCACACTTTGGAAATAGGAACTTTAAATACTACCTTTCATATACTCTATCTTAAATGGTATTGACTCTGGAAATAACGTTTTATTTTTCCTATTGTGTCTCAAGAAGTAAAAATATGACCAATAGTCCAAACAAAAGTTTTATCAAAAGGAATGGAGAAGAGGCTTATATGAAATAAATATGAAGACAGTAAGGTGTTATTTCTAACCTCCTGTGACTAAACTACATCTGAGAAGAGAAAGTAAACCATTCTTTAAAAATGAAGTAATGTAAAATGTAAAAAAAATATTTTTTAAACAATTGAGTCTTGGGAAGCTCGTGCTCCCTGCTTATACTGAACAAGGTGGCACCACTGTACCTTATTGTTTCAGCCCTCATACTGTAGACAGGCATCCTTTTCATAGATGATTTAGTGATTTAGCCATATTTTTCACTTTTTTTGGCGATTCACTTTTTAAAATGACCCTCATGCATAGTGCTGAAATGCTATTTAAAATGTTCATAAATGGGCCCTCCCTGGCCACTTCGGCATGAGTTCGATTCCCGCCTGCCTCGGAGGTGACCACATGGCATGGCAGACCTCTCCTGACCCGCCCACTGCTCCCCACTCTATCTCTTGTGAAGCCTCTCACCGCCCCGAGCCTCTGGCCTACCCCAGTTCTGTATAAATAAATAAATAAATCTTTTTTTCAAAAAAGTTCAAAAATAATGTGCCCTACTGAAAAAGTACATATACTAGATAAGTTTTGATCAGCCATGAAATATAATATCTCTGTCTTTGAGTTCAATGTTGGTAAATCAGTGTATATTAAATAAGGTGACTTATTAGAAACACGTATAAAAAAAGATTTTCGTATTGACTGATTAATGAAAATGTTGTGACTAGAAGTTTTCATGAAGTTAGCCATCTGTTTCCCTTTCATCAATGGTTCATTGTTCCCTAACTCAGTGTTTATGGTTATTTTATAGATCTACTACAAATAACTAGAATCAACTAATTTATTGATGACTAGATTAATTAGAATATCTCACTAATCTCCTTCAACCCATTGTTCAGAAAATAAAAATGTTATTGATAATTCTATGACCATAACCACCACTGTCACTATTATCTCTTTATAGATAAAAATATGATAATTTAAATTCTCTTGGAAATGTGTTGGGATTTTTTATGATGATGTTTGTTTTTGTTTACAGGTGAGAGCATCTTAGTTTGTAAGAACTCTGAGAAATCAAAAGGCATAGCTCTACTTCAGGGATCTCTAAAACCTGTTCGCAGCTGTCTAAGAAGACATGAAGGAGACGAAGTTACTGCTAGCATGATTCGAGCTATTCTGGAGGTAAGAGAGGGTTCATTAAATTACTGTTTTTTCTCTTGTATCTATAATACAATGGTAGAACTTTAATATATTAAAAAAAGCCTTTCGGCCCTCCCTGGTGGCGCAGCGGGTTAAAGCACAGCACTGAGAATCTGAAGCCACTTCCGTATGAGTTCGATTCCCGCCTGCCTCCTGCC